CTCTGAACCGATGTGGGGTCCTCTTGAGGCGCTTCAGGGCCGTCTTGGAGGCCATCTTGGGCGTCTTAGAGGCCTCTTGGGGCCGTCTTTGGGGCCTCCTGGGCCGTCATGGGGCCATCTTGAAAGCCTCCTGGGCGCACTGGGGGCGAGGAGGAGGAGGAGGAGGAGGTTGAGGAGGAGGAGGAGGAAAAGGAGGAATAGGAAGAAAAGGACTGGGAAAAGCAGGCGAAGAGGGAGTAGGAAGAGAAACAGAGAGGAGGACCAGGAGAAGGAGGCAGGGGGTATGAGCGAGGAGACACAGTCGGACAACGAGAGACAAAGTCGGAGCAACCCCCAACCCCCAGAGTCTGGGGGCGCCCCAGAGTCTGAACAGCATTTGTTTCAGATGGAGGGAAGTAGTGGTAGGAGCGCGAAGAGCAAGAGCGAGGGGTATGGCAACCCAAAAAGCTAATATTGAAACCAAGGGCAGCGATACTGAAATTAAAAGGTGGTTTTGAAACCAAAAGAAGCGCAAGAACAATACCGAAACTTGGACGTGATACTGAATCCATCTGAATCCCTTGTCACTCGGGAGCAACGGCAAAGGCAAAAGGAGAAGGAAGAGGAGGAAGGACGATCACGGCACCCACTGCCCAAGTGATGTTGTGGGTCCCTGCCGAGACGCCATACCTTGCTACGCTCTCCGAAACCACTTTTGCATCGACTTCTGGAAACTGATGCGGCCCCTGGAAGCCAATGCGGGCCCGCGAGAGACGATCGGGGCGCCCGACAATCCGCTGCTGACGGCGATATTTCGCCGACCAGGCGCCAGAAAACTCCTCGGTGCGCACGGGCGCGCGGAGCAGGTATCGACGGCGCCAGGCATCCAGCGCCACGAAAAGATCGAGGCGGCTGGTTTCTCTACGATCTGAGGCGGCTGGTTTCTCTACGATCTGAGCCTCCGGAAACCGATTTCGGTGTCTGGGGCCATCAAAAACCGAGCTGCGGAGAAAGCCTCGCCCTCAGAACTGAGTCGAGATCCCATGGGGGCTCACGTCACAAACATTCGTAACATCGAGAAAGAATGTCGAAGAAAAGATGAACGTAATGGGGGACGGCAACACGCATGAGCGGAACGATCGGCTGAATCAGATAGCGCGGCCTGCAATCCGAGGCGGAGAGGTGCAAGCGCATTTTTGGCAAAGACTCTCGCAATGCTACCGTCGCGTTGTTCTGGGGCTGCACTGCGACGCCTTACTGCATATTACGGAGTCGCGCGTCTCACGTCAATGATTGGGACGCACACGGCATACTTCGTTCACCACGAACAGCAACAAAGAGAAACACGATCTTTTCTTCACGGCCACTACCATGCAGCTCTGCTCCGTTCATACGCGAGCGATAGAACACCGCACTAAGCATGCATGCTAGTTGAGATTGGGAGGACAAGGCAATAATATATCGTAATCGATGCACCATCCCGTGCACGCTGTCATTCTCGTCATGCCTCCTGCTGCTCTTCCTCCTGCTCCTCTTTCCTCCTCTGCCTCCGTCTGCAGTGCTCCCTCGTCCTCATCCTCCTCTTTCTCTTCCCCACCCCTGTTCGGCACTCTCGACGGGGGGGGCCAAGAGAGGAGGAGTAGCTTCATCAGTCAGCGAGGCTTGCTGTTGCACTCGCAGCTGGGCCCGAGGGCCCGCACAACGCAGTGGACATCTACACGGGCGGATCATGGCGGCCAGTGCAGCCTGAGATGCCCAGCTGGGCCACGACCGTAGTTGCCAGACCAAGGAGCCCGGATTGCCACACGAAGGTGCATTTTTGCGTTTTCCTGCGGGGGAAGGCGTTTAAAATTACACTTGACATGGTTGGATCTCTGAGAGGCCTCTGGCACCACTTTCGGGACTCTGGAGATCTATGGGGGCCTCATATGGATTCTGTCTGGGGCCTTTGGGGAATTTGATGATACTGATTGCGATGATGATGATGCTGGTACTGATGATGATGCTGATGATGCTGACGATGACGATGATGGTGATGATGATAATGATGCCGATGATGATGCTCCTGATGATAATGGTGATGATGGTGACGGAACAGATTTTGAGGATGTCTCGGTCGAGGCGCTATTTTCAGCACGTCCAAGGGGCCGCCCGGGGGGCCGCCAAGGGGTATCTCACTCCTGCGTTCGCGCCCAGATTGCGGGGATGTCTTAAGCGGTTTGCCTATTCACATGCTCAACATCCTCCACTGTCGGAGTAGATTTTAAGGATGTCTCGACCGGTTTGCGTGCTTTCCTGGCCAGACTCGCCTGCGTTCAACGCAGCTTATGAGGATGTCTCGAACGGTTTGCATGTTTTTGTGGTCGGCCTCGTCTGCCCTAAGAGCGGGCGGGGGCAGGGGCGGCCACGGGCGCAAAGAGTTTTCGGGACTTCTGAGGTGTTGGGCAAACCGTTTTTGTTGTCCTTCCCACCCCCACGGCAAATCCGCTTCCCCTCATGGGGGCTATACCCGTCCACAACAAAGAACGATCGTGTTCGATTGGCCGGCCAGGTTAACGTCACCGCATTCTCGGCGATCGGCATGCTCAACTACAAGTGACGACCTTATGAGGGCAGCCTAGGGTCGACAAGCCGTAGAAGATTAGCAAACAGGGTGGATGCGCATTCGCCTTCGCCAGGCCCAGAAGTGGGGCCGCCCCCAGTTTTGCTCCGGCGGTATATGCATGGCCCAGCGCCCCGCGGCCGCGCAACAGGAGGAGGCGGCCACGAGCGCGGTGAAAAGGGCGGCCAGCACCGCCTATCTGGCGGACCCCCCCGGCCCGAGCGGCACCAGCGCCGCCAGCAAAGACGGCGCAACGAACCCAGATCGAACCCGCTGCGCAGGTCCAGTGACCGCAGAACAGACCATACACACATAAAGGTGAGCTCGCAATGGTGGCTCTAGTCAGCGGTCAGAACGTCCACGATGGCCTGGCCCTAGATGTTGAACGCAGTTCAACATAGCCTTCGCGTTGAAGACGCCGCGGGGCGGCCCCGAGATGGCTTCGAACGCCTTCCGAGCCCTCCACGGGTCACCCACAGTGGCCAACATCGCTCCAAACCCACAAGGAAAAAAGAACGGCGGTTGCGTTCTCGCCTTTTCGTTTCCGACGGGCTTCGGAAGCGTCGCGGCGGCGCCAAGACGGCCCAAGAAAGAGCCCCCAGGGCGCGCCCAAGAGGGCTGCAAGGGGCCCCCCAAAGCGCCTCAGAGCGCCTATCAGCCGCTCCTGTTGAGCAGCGGTGTCCAAGACTGCCCCAAGAGGCTTCCCAGACCCCACCGAACAAAAAGCCATAAGAGGGCCCCGAGGCCATAGGGCCCCAAGAATATCCCGAGAGGACCACCAACGAGCCCCAAGCTGGCTCCACGAGACATCCGAGAACTGCTCTGGCAACACCTCAATTCGCCATTGCATTGTTTATGAATGGGCTGGCGGGGACAGGCGAAGCGTCAGTAATTGCCAACGCTCTTCCCCGATCTTCCTCCCCCCCCCTCCTCCTGCGCCATGTCCCCTCCCGCGTCCTCCATCGCCCGCGCCCCCCTCCTGGCTCTGGGGCCCAATGTCTGCCCGCGCTCGTTGCGTGGAAACCGACGCGGCCACAGCGGCCGCGATCGCGCCACGTCAGGGCCGAAGAAAGGAATTGGGATGGCGGAGGAGAGTGGCTCACGACGATGAGCGGTTCTGCACTCTCACGCATGTGCGAAGCAACAACCAAATTCAATTCTCAATGCGGCCTGACCCAGTGGGCGCGATGGCGAGCCCCCGCAGCCTGCCGCTGCTCCATGGAGAGCTCTCTACCCACCATCTCGCTGAGCATCAGTCGCTCCGCCATGTGCTCCTTCGGCGCGTGGCGCCGCATGATGCCAGCGCTGGCACTGCACTTCGGCGCAAGTGGCAGTTCGCACAGATGTTGGTGCGGTCGCCCCTGTATCCGACGAAGCCAACAATTGGAACGGCATTGTGGTGCAGATCCAGCCCCGCCACCACCCCCCGCTCGTCCACGCGGCAGCGCGCAGCGCCCGCGCCACCTGGGTCGGCGGCAAGCGTCGCCACGGGCAAGGGCGGGCCCCCGAGCACCTTGGCCGCGCCGGCGGCTGCGACGTCCAAGGCGTCGCGACGCCTCGGGTCGTCTTGGCCTGGGCCAGTGCCGCCCTCGCCGCGATGGTGCGCATGCGAAGGGGGGGGGGCTCCTCCCCTCCGTCGGGCTCGCCCATGTCGAGATAGTCTGCGTCGTCGCCGTCGGCGCCCTCCCCGGCGATGCCGCCGACAAGATTGTCCTCGATGAACTCGGCCGCCCCCGCAACATCCCCTCGAAGTGCTCTGCGAGGAAGTCGGCCATCAACTCGTCGAGGCCGTCTGCGAAGACGCTGTGGGCGTGCCCGCCGCCATCGCAGCTGGCGGGCGCGCTGGCGGCCGCCCCTGCGCCCGCCCCTGGCTCGCGCGCGGACGTGGTGCCGAAGCTAATCGCTGAGCTAGTCGGGCGCAGCTGGAGGTCGGCAAACGCGTCTGCCGACGCAACGCGCTGATTCCCTTTCGGAGCCAAGTCGGCCGCTGCCCCCTGGCGCGCAACAGGTCGTCGCCAACTGCCTCGTCGTAGTCCACTCGTGCAACTCGCAGCGGCGTCCGACAGAGCAGCTTCAGCACGAACTCATCTGGCGCCTCCCTGTCCGCGACGACGAAGGGGCCCACCGCCGGCGGCGAACGCAGGCGGCCCCTGGACTGCAGGATCTTCAACTTGCACGGGTACTGGGCAGGAGCCCGAAGTGCAAATCCACCCTCCACAACGTCGGCATCCGACACCGCGACAGGGCGACACTTGACGAAGCACTAGGCCCTGGGGTTGCACATCGGACATTTGATGGCGGCCCGCGCGCGCAGGGCCCTGCCGTCGCTGGCCGTCCGCTTCGTGGAGAGGTGGAACAATCAATCCTTGCTCTTGATTGCATTCTTGTCTATGGAGTCGACCAGCGCTTCTACGGGAGCCTTAGCGACGTCGAACCTGCGCAAGGTGCTGCGCCGGGCCGGCATCTTGGTGCAAACGTTGTGCCGCTCGCCGCCGCGGCCCCGCAGCGACTCCGTCGATGAGACGCGGTCTTGCAGGCCATGCCCTTGCGCGACGACGAACGGGTTCGCGTCGGCGGCTGGCTTCTCCATGCTTTCTGGGCTGAGCGAGCTATGGTAGTTCGCGAGCACTGTGGATGTGATAGGGACACCCTCGACGGTGTCACCGCCCTGTATGCTTTCTGGCCACGCTGGCTGACCGGGCGTCTCCTCTGGCGTCGCCGATGATCGGGGCCCTGCCGGCACCCGTAGCAATCGTTTGCGTTGTCGCTGCCGTGCGACGAACAGAGCCGTCCATCGCGCGCATGGTCTCGTCCTCGTCATATTCCGTGCAGTTTCTCCGGTGCTCCGCGTCGACCTCGTGTCTCTGCAATGGTCGATTGAGGAACTCCCTCCTCCAGTGGACTTGGCTGTTCGAGCAGGCCATCGTCGGGTTACCGCCCTTGGCGAGCTCCTCCAAGTCGACGCCGTCGAATTGGTCGCCAATCTCGGCCGAGTCGCCATCCCCCGCTGCATATGCAGGGCGGTCAGCCAGCTGGAGGAGGGGCTCGGCGCGCGGGCCCGCGATGGCGCCGATGGGCAGGCCCCTCTCTTGGCCGAGCGCGGCCTGCGACTCTGGAGCAGGGCGTCGGAGCGGCAGCGAGCGCGACGGCCCGCCCCTGATTCCGTGGGCCTTTTCCGAGGCGTCGACGCACCGCCCGCCTAACAACTGGCCCCCTGCGCCAGCCCTGTGGCGCTGGGCGCCATCTCCCCCGCCATCGCCTCGTGCTCGCACTCGGCTGGGGCGGTCGTGAACATCAGCTCCCTCTGCCAGAACAAACTCGTCGCTGCGGCCTTGCGGCGGGGCAGCGCGCGGCCCGTCGGGAATCGGCGCCTGAACGTACGACCCACATGGCCGATGCAGCAATCATTCGCATCGAGGAACTCCTGGATGGCGACTTCCCTGTCTCTGTCAGAAACGTTCGGAGATATGAGCCACTGCAGCTTGTAGGGCCAAGTGGAATGTGGAACCTGGGTAGGGCCGTTGCAGCGGTGGCTCGCGACTGGTTCGTTCGCCCACCTGGCGCAGCCGCGCCAGGTGAGCTCACGAATCAAGCATGCGCCATAGCGGCAACAGCCAAGCATTCGGCGTTGGCGCGATGGTCGTTGCCACATGGGGCCTCCAGGCGCTGGGGCAGACTGCAACTGGCCGGTAGCGCTCTGACATCCGCGGCACGAAGGTCCTCCAAAGCTAGGAATGCGAGCAGCCGCCATGGACTGGCGTCTGACAAGTTCTACATTTGCAGCAACCGGAGCAGCTGTGATTGGGGCTGCCTGATGATGCTCACCTGCGGGTCGACCATGTCGGTCAGGTTCGCCTTGCGCTTGTTCTCTCTGCCGCGGCCGAGCGCGAGCCAATGGAGCTTCTCGATCTGGGCGCGTCCGATCAATGATGCACCTATTGCCACCTGCTCGTTTAGATGCCTTCATCACCCTGGTCATGTTCTTGAGGTTGAACGCGTTTGCCTCCTCGCCAACGGCAGTGCTGTCCATGGGCATCTTCATTTCTGCCCCCAGCTTCGCCTCGGTCATTTCCATGTTGGAAGACAGCGCCGGTGGAGTTGTTGGCGCAACATTGTTAGGCATGGACACCCATCAAAACATGCTTCAGGCACCGCGTGACACCTGTCCATCGCGAGAGGGCAACTACTTCCCACCTTCGCCCAACGGTACACTTAATGAGGGGCGTCGAGATGTGCTGCGCCGCTTCGCCCAAGTCGACCCGGGGCCCGTTCGCCGAGCTGGTCGCCAGCGGCACGTAATGCACCCGAGCTCCCGCGGAAATGTCGACCGTGGATTTGCCGCGCAGTTCTTCCGGGTCGCCATGAAATCCAGTTGCCCCGCGAGAGGCCGAACGGGCGCTTTGAAAGATCAAGCCTGCATCGCCGTCTATGCCGTATACATCCATTAATGCACGCAATGCTCGGCTGTGCCCCTCGGGCACCCCATAGCGGATCACGAAATTTCTCTTGGCGTGGTCGTGGATTGCTGCAGCGAGTGAAGTAGCATGTTTACCGCTTCCAACTATTTTGCTCAAGCATGCCAGCTACGCCAGCCGAAGAAATTATCAAATACCTGCTGATCTTTATCTTGTGCGGCAAGCACCGCGCGTTCGGTACATCTCAACATAAACTTGCAGACTGTCAAATCATGCCAGCCATGTGGGCATGGAAGGTATAGGGAGGTGTCTCTTCTAATCCCGTTCTTCTCATTCGGGGAGGCGCGCGCCCCTCCCCCTTTAACCCCTCGCTCTGGGCCTCGACGTAGGGTGTGGTTGTGATGGTGGTGGTGGTGGTGGTGGTGGTGGTGGTGGTGGTGGTGGTGGTGGTGGTGGTGGTGGTGGTGTGTGTGTGTGTGTGTTTTTGTGTGTGTGTTTTGTTTTTGTGTGTGTGTGTTTGTATGTGTGTGTGTGTGTGTGTGTGTGTGTGTGTGTGTGTGTGTGTGTGTGTGTGTGTGTGTGTGTGTGTGTGTGTGTGTGTGTGTGTGTGTGTGTTGTGTGTGTGTGTGTGCGGGGTGGTGGGGGGGGGGGGGGGGGCGCGGGGGCGTGGGTGGGTGGGTGGGCGGGCGGGGGCGGAGGGCGGGGGTGGAGGGGGGGGGGGGGGGGGCGGGCAGCTTGAACGACCAACGTGGCCCACGATGGTTCCACGGGCGCCCCAGAGAGACCAATGCGACTTCCGAAATGGCTCAAGATAGCACAAGATGTCTTGAGATAGCCCCCAACCTGTTCCAACGTGCTCCAAGACGGCCCCAGGGCGGCCCCAAGTGGCCGAACAGTTTCCCAAGGAGGCCCCCAAGAGGCCAACGCCTTTCAACCATCGCGGACATCAATGCGATTTGCTTCCTCGCCCTCTCGCTTCCGATGGCGCGCGGGCCGTTCGCCCCCCCCGTTTCCCGCCCCCCAGAGGGTGCCCGAAATCCCGAAGGGGCCCGAACGACTCACCTCCTGTTGTGAATCGTTCGGCCCCCTCCTGAACGTCCTCCTTCCCCTGGCCCTCATCAGGTTCCTCCTCCTCCTTCTCCTCCTCCTCCTCCTGCCCCCCCCCCCCGCCCTCCTCGCCCTCCTCCTTGCCCTCCTCGCCCTTCCCCCCTGCCCGTCCTCCAGGGGGGGGCCCGTCCCAAAAGGGCCCGAACGTCTCGCCTCCTGGTGCGAGTCGTTCGGGCCGCCCCCCCCCCCCTCCCCCCTCCCGTCTCCTCCCTGCCCCCCAGAGGGCCCGACGTCCATATGGGCCCGACCCGAGGAGATTCCGAAAGGTATTCAGGAGGATTCTGGCTCGGTTGCTCGCCTCTTTTCCTCCTCCCCCCCCCCTCCTCGTTCCCCCCTTCCTCCTCATTCTACTCCTCCTCCTCATTCATATGTTCTTCCCCCCTCCTCCCTTCTCCCTCTCCATCGCCTCCTCGTCGTCGTCGTCGTCGTCCTCGCATCCTTCAGGCGATAACGGTTACCCCCCTCTTGGCTCCTGCGTTGCCCAGATCGCCTCAACTCGCCTGAGCGGCATTTCTGGCAGGGTTGGCGGGGATGCGCGAAGCGTCGAGAATTTGACGAGGCTGAATCCAACGCGAGAGAGATCATGAAAGCGTCGGCGCGCACCGGCAACAACTCCAGCGACATGACGTCTGCAAAATCGTCGGGAAGTGATTTGCGCAATCCTTCGAACAGCAGCCTATATACACACATATACATGCATACATACATACATACATATATATATATATGTATATATATACATATATGCTTGCCACTCGATCTGCATGAGCTGGCTGACATCCGAGACCGACTGGAGGCTACCCCGCTGCACGACCGCTTGGAAAACGGCGCCGGGGACGACCATCGCGTTGACGACCTTCTGGCAGTGGCCGAGGTCTTGCGCGCTCTGCCGCCGCAGGAGGGCCCTTGAAGATTGGGAGGCCTCGCCCCACGTGGCTGAAACCCCACGAAGCGCGAAGAGGCGCGCTCCTGCGGCTGCTGGCGTTGCCCTTGCAATGCAGATCTGCCATCCGCGCAGCTGCCTTTCCAGATAAATTTTGCCCACGATGGCAACGGACTTGTCTTGCAACCGACGCACCTTCTCGATGGGAGCGCCTCCGCCGCGAACTTTCGGCGAACGCGCAAGCTGCATCATTGCTTTGAGTTTTGTCTTGGGTCGAGATGCCATCCTCTATGAGGCCGCAGGAACAACGCTGGCAGGCACTGACAAGGACATGATCGCCATCGGTTGAGTATCTCGATATGACAGCGCCGTCCGTCTGATTCGGATGTTATCTATTCTGGTCTGTCGGCCTCGCTGCAAAGCCTCTAACCGTCGCTCCTTGGCAGATCTCTGCTGCCGCGTGTCTCCCATGGGGACGGCCATCGCCAGGGCGAGGATGTCATCGTCCATCTAATTGAAGGAAACACAATGGGAAGGGGGAACAAACTCTGGATGCCGGACAGCTGCGCTGGCAGATGTAGAGCGAGGCGCCACAGGGGAAAGGAAACACCGTGCAATCAGCGCAATGCAATGCAAGAGTTGGTGACAACGAAAGCCGTGCACTGCAATGCAATGCCAGGGGTACCCAACTTAGCCAGTGCGGTGGAATGGAAGCTGGCGCATATATTGGTGCGTACAAGTTCAATGCCATGCAGTCGTGTTGGTGCACTACCTCAACACAGCGCAATACTATCCAATGCCATACGAAACCATTTCAATACACCCGATGGTATGCAGCATACTCCAATACCATACAACTCAATTCAACCTTAATAGTGTAATAAGCATAACTTCAAATGCGATTTCGGTTTTAGCTTTTCGACTTTCGATGTTTGATCCGAACCGAGACTTTTGATTTCGACATGTGCTTCCGGCGGCTCTCCACACAAAACAGCACCATCGTGTCTCTAAGCTATAAACACTATTTAACAGGAGAGTGCGCGAGGCTAAGGTGAGAGCCACATTTCGAAAACCACCCGCCGTCCATCCGTGGATCTGCTGCAGATTTTCAAGCTTCAGGGTCATAACTGTTAAGGAAGCCTCATACGAAACGCCCGGCCCGCTCTTTCGACCAGTCTCCAGGTGAGACAAGAAATAATTATTTATAAGGAAGGGCAGTGCGGGAGGAGAAAGAGGAGAGGAACGAGGAGTAGGGGGAAAGGGGGGGAGGGGGGGCTGGAGGAAGTGATGAGGATAAGGATGAGGAGGAGGAGGGAGGAGGAGGAGGAGGAGGGGGAGGAAAAAGGAGAGGAGGGCGAGGAGGAGGAGAAGAGGAGAGGTGGAGGTGGAGGAGGAGGAGGAGGAGAAGGAGGCGGAGGGAAGAGGAGGTGGAGCAGGAGGAGGAGGAGGAGGAGGAGGAGGAGAGGAGGAGGAGGAAGACGAGGAGGATAAAAGAAGAAAAGTGGCGCCCCGTCGCCGGCGGCCGCCTGCGCGACGCGCGCAGCGCGCGTGCGGCCGCTACCGCGGCGCCCGCGGGGGCGGCGCGGCGGGCGTGGCCCCGGCCTCGGGCGCAGGGGGGGAGCGAAAGATAGATGGAGTGGAGTATGGGGGGAGAGGAAGAAGACGAGAAGGAGGAGGCGGAGGAGGAGGAGGAGGAGGAGGACAAGCTGGGTGCGCTCGCGTCATATCTGACGTCCTACCCCTCCCTCCCATCCCTTACCATGGCGCTGATTTTCTCTATCCGCGGACGCGTGTCGTAGCGGACCTGTGGCTCGCGCGCGCGCGTGCGTAGTGGGTGTGTGGTGCGCGTGCGTGCGTGCGTGCGTGTGTGCGTGGTTGTCGTGGTGGTGGTGGTGTGGTGGTGGTGGTGGTGGTGGTGGGTGGTGGTGGTGGTGTTGGTGGGTGGTGGTGGTGGTGGTGCTGGTGGTGGTGGTGTGGTGTGGTGGGGTGGTGGTGGTGGTGGTGGTGGTGGTGGTGGTGGTGGTGGTGCGGCGCGGTGGTGGCGGGCGGATGGGCGCGCGAGAAAGAGGCCCGCGCTGGGGCGAGAACGCCATCCTGAACGACGGAGGCCAAACACCGATCCGAAAATGAGGCCCACGCTGCAGCGGGAGCA